TATTTTAAAGCAACACCTTCTGCCATGACCTGCCTCCTGAGACGAGTGGGACTCAGGAGCTTCAGGGTCCCGTTTCCCCAGCGGCAAGGGCTGGTTCTGTCTGGTGCCATGCCTCAGGGAGACATCTCACTTGGCAGGTGCAGGCTGGACCGCAGACAGCAGAGAGAGAGATTTTGCAGTAAGTATCGCATGAGGACTGCCTTAAGCATTTTTTTAGTATTCGGTCCAAGTTCTGAGGATAAAGCCAAGAAATTTTACTTCATCAACTTTGTCCTATTTGGCTGCCTGACACCGTAGGGAGGTTTTAGTTTGGTGCTTTACAGGTATTCTGGCATGTTGTTGTGGAAGTGGTAAAACATGAGGCAAGCTTTCTTTAAGCAAGTTAAAGATAGGCGCCTGTTGAACCATCCCACCCTTTTTTTCATTGATCTGCATCTTGAGTGCTGTCCTGTCTCTAACCTTTCCTTTCTTGATATGGTTGTTAGAGAGGTTGTCAGAAAGGTTGTCGTGGGGCAACCCTAACTTGACATAGTATTCTTGCATTTCTTCCCCTTCTCCTAGGCTAAGCATGGCACAGAGGGTCTAGTTCTGTTAGGGGACGAGAAGCTCCTAGAGGTGACCAAAGAGAGGTCAAAACTCCAAGCAGATTCTTCGATCTATCGGCAGCTTTTGATCCATTTGACCAAGAAACATTATTGACCTGTTTGTGAATCCTAGCTATGGCAATGGTCTGAAAAGCTCTTTTGGCAATTTGAAAGGGGGGTGGGTGAGAGTCACTGGGCATGATGCTGGCTTGTTTTTGACTCACCACCTCCTATCCTATTGCTATCCAAAGTTTACATTTCGGGGGAGAGCCGATGTGGGTTCTGTAGCTGTGCATATACAGATAACTCATGGATCTGCATCTGCACTTAACCAGATCTGCACGTCATCTCTCTGACATGGACTTTGTCACAGTCACACCTGCCCATGAGGCATTTGATTTGGATTGCAATTTCTCAGAAACTGCAGCCAGTTCAGTCTCAGGCCATGACTCAGCAGCACTAGTTATGAGGAATGTGGTCTCTGCAGCCTTCGCTGCTTCCAAGTCAATTTCAGGTGCACGTCACACTCTGTCAGCTACACAAAATTTTCTCTGATTTTTTCCATTTCTGGCTGCTGAGCACCACCAGACCATGACCCATAGCATAAGTGGAAATCTTTCATTCACTGATGTATACTTGGGTGACCACTCCCAAAAGAGAGGTGGTAGAGAAGGATCTGTGCCTCACTTAGCAGCTACTTTGGGGAAAAGTTAGTATCTTGTCTTAAACTGTCGCTGAAGATGGGTTCATGCTGGACGTTGTATGGAAGCAGCTGAGGTGCAGGCATATGTTCCCTTCTGCTGACTTGGCTGTGGTGACGCTAACCACAGCCAGCAAAGAGAAGCGAGCAACTGGGAACAGTAACATCTCAAACTGCAGCAGAAAGATTGGCGAGACCTCTCCTGTCAGCACTTGGATTCCCTTGGTGTTCATTGAGGAATTAAAAGTTAACTGAGGGTGGTGGCAAAAAATAGGTTTGCCTGCCTAGAAAACGCTAAAGCCAATACTGAAAAGCAGAGGTGGATCTGAAAGCAGTTATCGCTCTTGGAATTTATAAGGGGATTAAAACATGTATCATCCTTGTAGCGCATAGGCAATTTTATAATCACTGCTGGTATTTCACCTCAGGGTAGAAAAATTAATTCCCCACCTTTTTCTAAGGAATAGAGGCCTGGGATTTGCTGTTAGTCGTAAAGGAGAGTTTGTGGCCAAACTAGACGCTTTCTGAACCTCAGAAGTGATTGAACGGCCTGGGATGGGTCAGGGTGTACCACCACACCTCTGGAAATCAAACGGGGGAAACCTGCACGCAGAGAAATGCCACAAGATGTTTCATGGCCATTTCACTTCCATGTCAACTGGAAAAGAAAGATACTACAAGGCTGTGCAAAGCATAAGACAAACTGCTGTGCAAAGCAGTGGCTGCAAAATTAAAATGTAGGATGTTTTATTACATGCAATGTGGTGCCTCCTTTCTCCCCCCACATCTCTGTTACAGAAAGGAATCTCTTTCTTAAGGAAAAAACATGCAATCTTGAGTAAGAGGCAATGTAGATATTTTTTTTTGCAGGGGGTTAAAGTGGCATCTTTGCACACCCCCACCCCCCACCCCAGCAAACCTGCCAGCAGTTGAAAGATATAAATAGGGACATCTAGGGAGAAAAGCATATTTAAGTTCCTTTGAAATGTGCTTGGCTAAAGGAATATTTTGAAGAGAGGGAGTGGAAAAACAAATGGAAACTATTTTCTTTGAAAGGAAAAAAAAAGCATCAAACTGTCCTTCCTAAATAGAGATACTTGGCTGGTGTGTACTTTATGCAGCCCTGGGTCAGACCTTGCAAACAACTACTAAATTAGGTCCAGCTACTTTGATGCTAAAAGCATGGAAGTGCCAATAATTAAGTTGCATCAGATGTAGGAAATGACTGATGTGTCTGCCATGCTCATGATAGCAGAGTTCACTGTGCTGCCATTTGACTGACCCCTTTTTCTTTATGTAAGCAAAAGGAATTTTCTTCTAAGGAAAATCAGCTGGTTTTGCACCTTTGTTTTGTTTTCTGAACTGCTAATCCCCTGAAGGTATAGAAGCTATTTGAAAGAGCAAATCAAAGCTCCCATAATTTAGTGTTATATTATTTGTTGATGTATGGTTTGATTTAGTGGCTACTTATTATATCAGGTTACCATATAATTATCTTAATTATTGACTTCAGAAGTAAGTAGAGGGATTATGAAAGAGACAGGAAGGCCCAGTGGAAAGAGCATGACTTGGAGAATCGAACACATCACGGTGTGCTCTTGGCTCCACCACTCATTTAGTCTGAACCCTTCCCTCAGCCAGCCCGGCCATGAAATCAGGAGGGATTGCAGGGACAGGACTCAGACGCTGACCCAGAATTCAAAGAGATGCGGGAGAGCAGTATAAAAAGGACAGAGGAAAGTTCTGAAAGAGAGATGTAAAATTAGCAGGAAAAAAAAAAATGAATACAGACCACAGCTTGTATTTGCATCAAAGTGTGGAGCACCTATGCGGTCATGGAGAGGGGTAGGTGTGCCACGAAGGCCTGACATTTTGAGTCTGATCACAGTTCATTTCCAACCTCTGCTACTGATTTCCTGTGTGAAATCAGGTAGCCCTCGGATCCCTTTCTGCAAAAAAATCATCCTCCTGTCTTTGGTTTTAGCTATTCAAATTATTGGAGCACAGCCTTCAGCCATGGTTCTCATGACATTGCTGCCATTTGTGGCTTTTAGTCTCCTAGTCCTTTGTCTGATAACCATCAACCAAAGCCAAAGGTCTGAATTAGTAGGCACTACTGCAACATAAAAGCAATACTGAAAGGCTGTCAGTGCAGTCTGTACTTCCTGTATTGATAATATTTGACATATACTGACAAAATACTTCATTTATTGACAAGCTGAGTTGCATCTTTTTCCCTAAGAGAGGAGCAGACACACTGGTTCTGCTCAGCCTGTGCAAATTACTTTCTCTGGTTTTGCTTTTCTTTCCTGAGCCAAAAAATGGGGATAATAGAACGTATCTATTTCCTTCCTAGAAAAGATCAGTTAATGTGAAATGGTGCATGGTGGCTTAGTGATGAATAAGTGGGATACCCTAATCCAGCAAGGTATCCTCGTTCTATTGTACGCCTTTTCTGCATACCATCTGGAGTTGTTCGCTGCTTAGTATTTTCAGTATGTACCATATGTTTTTGCATGAAAATTCAATAAAATATGCATTATACATGAAAAGTGCTGTAGTAAATAAAGGAAGGATGGAATCCAGTCCCCTTTGTGAACGGCAGGGGCCCCAAATCTTCATAAAAGGTTTAGTCTAGTCTGACGTCTGTGCTTTTCTCCAATTTACTCTGTGTCAGTCTTTAGGAGACGCTCTAATTTAAAACAAAACTCTGCTTTCCTGACGGGGTTATTAGATGTACTTTGGCTGCCATCTGCTGAGAGCACTGAATAAGACAGGGAAAATGTCCTTTTTGCAAGGAAGGTGACAGTGGGAGAAATTCTCTGTCCATGCGCTGAGTCGTGTCACTGCTGCTGGTGGTCGCCTGTGGTTTCGTGTCTCTCACTGTCTGTTTGCTGCCTGTCGGAGGGCAAAGTCTTCTGACCTACAGCCCTGTTTGGGTTTTAGTGCTCACCACTCGTTGCCACAGGCCAACTGGTTTTGTAGACTTATGAAAATGCGGGCTCAGGCATTGCCCGCCATGCAAAGTTAAGCAGCATTACACAAGGGGTGGCCACGGGAGCAAGCAGGCTTCTCTCCCTAGGCACTATTGCAATCCTGCTGGGTGGGATTTGAACTGTACCTCAGCCCCCTCTACTCGGCAGAGCAATTCGCCGCTGCGTGCTGTCCCTCATCGGGGTGCCGGTTTCTTCCAGTGTCATCTCTCACCCCTCAGCAGACTTCACAGCACTATCACTTTGCTTTATTTCTATAACTGGGAAAGGGCAAAGGGTTTGCTCCAACATCGGCAAGAACAACTGAAGGACTTGCTGTTTCTTGGGAACAAAGTGCTCCTGGTCTGCCACGCTCCCATCTTTGGGAAGAAACAAGGGTCCTGTGCAGATTTTAGGGCATGTATAATACAATAGCTCTGTTGTAGCTATTAATGCTCTCTGTAATGCCCTGTTTTTAATACTTCCTAGCAAGCTGATTTATTATTATATCTTCAGCTGGGCTGCAGACCAAAGTATTTTGATGATGAAAGGAATGTTATACACACATTTAATTACTGCCCACATTCTTCTATAATTTTATCATTTACTGTTTTAGATGAGACATCGAGTTCTTCTACAGGAAAAATGCCCAGTAAAAAATAGAAGATTTAAAAGCTAATCTGAGATGAGTTTGGCACTTAAATGTGAGAAAATGTAATTGTTCCTTTCTTCCTGCCTTTTCAGATGGTCCCTGATTACCAAAATGTACAAGAACTCCCTTATCTGGACATGGTGATTGCAGAGACATTGCGCATGTACCCACCTGCATTCAGGTATCTTCCCCCCTCCCCCTTCTGATTCCACAGGGTAGATCCCTAGCTCTATAAAATGGAAATCTGCTGTTGGAAGACCAATGTGCCCTTGGTCTCTGTGCCAACATCAATACTGCTTGTGCATTTGAAAGATATAATGTGGCCTATTGAAGGAAAACTGGCTAATACTGGTATTTCTAAAGCAGTGTTTTATAACGGATTGGCCAAGATTGCTTCTTGATCATTCTTCACATCCGTCAAGGTTAGAGGATGGAGTCATTTTGCAGCAGGACTGGCCTTAGAAAGCCAGATGATGCTGCTTCCATGCACCTCAGGCTTTGGGGATACAGAGCAAAGACCTATCCTAGCCTTTTGGGTGGTGGATGAGTTACCCTGCTGGTCATTAAGGCCCGGATCTGTGGAAGGGTTGCACATTCAGCAAGCTGTATTTTACTGTGTTTAATTAGGACCCGTACTGTTTTGTGCTTAGAACTGTTATACTAATATAGCTAAGCTAATGGCTACATCCATTCAATTTTGAAAGTTTTGCCCCAATTCACACAAGACTAATTTTACTAAGTTATATTGATGAACTGAAAACAAGGGGGAAAGAAATTAGAAAGCTGTTTGATTGTCAAATTTCCAAGTTATCACAAGCATAAATGCAAACGTTAAGAATGGAACTTTTCGAAGGGGTCAGCCTGTTGCACTGCTTCTCGTGAAGCCAGGGGAAGATTTCAGATGACTGGAAAGGAGCCAAAGCTGAGCTTGCTGTGACAGCCTTTGAAAAATTTACCCCACGATTGCAAGTACCTTAAAATAAAGAAGCTTAAAAGCATATTCTCTTTTATATGTTCACAAAGATAGGAAGTCAAGATTTTTCAATGGACATCTACAGGATTGTTCAGAGAGTAAATGTCAAAGATACTTGCTCCTGGATGAGATGACTAGGCTTTACTGTGTTATACATGGTATATTTGTGGAAATTGTTTTGCCAGTTAAAGTGTCAGGGATCTTTGAGTTTCAGCTGAAACACTGGGAAACAATCAATGTTTCTCAGATGGGAAAGAGAATGAGAATGGAGCAAAGTTGTTCCAAAGTTTCGATTGGCAATGTTGGTGGTGTTTATTGATCTGGCTTTTACTCTGATGGATGGGGAATGGATAGGACAGCCCAATGCCCCGGAAAGATGCTAATTGCCCATGACAAGGATAATGCTGACTTAAGGGAAAATTCAGTAGCAGCCAAGCTTGTTATAAAATGAGGTGGTTTTTTTTTTTTAATTAATTTATTAGCCAGAGAACTTTGTTCCACAGAACTCATGTTTCCACTATCACCAAATTCATGTAACGGTGAGAAGGATGGCTTGTCTGTGTTTTTTAGCATGCCAGTGTTTTGTTCCAGGTTTGGAGCCTCTGTTATTTATTTGTCTATGAGAAAGAGAGAGATGGGTGACAGCGAGGAAAGAATGTGTTCCTGTAATGATACCAGATTGACAGGCCTGAAACTGAAATCTTTGTTCAACTTTTTAGGCACAGTGCGGGGAGCAGCAATGGGAGCTCCTGCACGTTGTCTCGCCCCTGTGCTCCCAGCTGGTGCCAGGGAATAGCTCCTAGGCTGAGATAGCAGGGCATCCGCCTGGGTCTGGGCTGGTTTGGGGTCTGTAGCAACCACCCAAGCACCAAAAGATCTAGATCAGGATCTGCCACCACACGTGCATACCCACACATCATTTTTTTACAAGGTTCACAGACCCAAGCTCAGCTTTGGCAGGTGGCTTTTCTCAGTCTTACTGTCACTATGAGGTTCCTAAGGACAGTCCTACACTGTCACCTGTCACCACAGGGTGGGAGGAAACTGGAGAGTTTTGTTGCTAACATCATGCCTACCTTTGATGAGTGTATGTGAGCTGCAGTTTTCCAAGGCTTGTGAATTGGTTGTATTTTTGTAGCAGCAGCAGAACGCTTAGCCCTAACATTAAAACCATCTCTTGCTAAATTTCAGGTGCTGTCCCAACATGGGGGAGCTTCTCAAATAAATAAACTCAAACCCTATATTTAATTTAATTTTTTCTGAAGGCAAACCAGCATACTCCTTCTGCCTGTTATTAGAGATGACTGGCATGTTTTATCTGCAGTTTTCATAAAAAATGAGTCTAAAACCAACATTAGCAGCAAAATTGCAGTTTAACAGTTAACATTTTAGAAAACCATAAGCAACCAGAAATGCTTTACTGTGAAAAGGGCAAAAGCTAGCCAGCTGGTTTGGAGCTATGTGCTTCTAGGTGGAGATGATTGCAACCTGAGAAGGCACTAGCATCAGCAACGGTTGCTGTATTTATCTTCTGGGAAAGTGTTACTTCCAAAATTACAGGGTCAGTCCAGCTGAAGAGATTGACTTCTATGGTTCCCTCCTGCTGTGTTTTTACCTTTATTAATCATCTGGGATACATGACACTTACTGTTGCAGGTTCACTCGGGAAGCAGCTAAAGACTGTGTAGTGCTGGGGCAGCGTATTCCAGCTGGGGCTGTCATTGAAACCGCAGTTGGATATCTCCACCACAACCCTGAGTTCTGGCCAGAGCCTGAGAAGTTCATTCCTGAGAGGTACGTCGAGTAGTGCTTTCCATTCTTGGGTTGAAGTCCTTATTTGGGCCTGTTTAGATCAAAGGCTTGCCTTACATGCTGTTCCATGCGTTAGGGTGGGCGCAGGACTCCAGCCTGTCCAGTGGAGGCACCAGATCCTGCTGCTCCTTCACAGCTACAGTCAACCGCTATTCACCCGAAGCAGTATTTCCACCAAGAGGAGCACAGTTTAATTTAGATCATAAAATATGTTATTTCCACCAAATTAGACAAGTGGTGATAGTGGCGCATCCCACAGAAGGTGCAAGGTCTGGTCAAGGTTGAAATGCGGCGCAGGTTTTCAGACCTGTTTCCAAATCAGATGCTGCAAATAGTGTCACCTCTGGATGCAGAAATTCTGAGGTGAGATAGCATATTCACTGGCATGGAGCTATCCAGGAAGCTCATCCAGCTCCTGGCTGGCTTAGAGCAGCCTTTCTACCTGAGATGTTGTAATGGTGTGGGTATGCTGTGAGCGGGGAACCTATCCCATCTCCCACTAGGAATTTGCTCTCTGTCCATAAGTTAGGATCCTGGGTTCTTAGCTCTGCTTGGCAAGACATATTTCACATGGAGCATTTATTCTTTTCAACTGGGGGGGGCACTGTCAAGTTGTGTTTGTGTACCCTGCCCTATCTTACAGATGCTGAGTTGAGCTTACAGGGGGAGTTTCAGCTGATGCAGTGCTGTCTGGAAGCAGAATTTTGTTTTGTGGGCAGCTATATTTTAAGCTGTTCTGGGGGCAGCTGCATTTTAAGCTACCACTACATTGAAAAATCTACTAAGAAAAAAAGTGCATGCTCCATAACAACTGGGTGTGATGCAGGCAGCCCAGAACCATCTTTGCCAGCGGGAGAACACGTGTATGGTGTAGGTGGGTTTGCCCAATGCTCCTTCTGGGGCAAATCTTGGCATATGCTCTATCAGGCACCTTAGGCCATGAAGAAGAGCAATGCCAGGGTTAGAGAGGCCCAAAGCTTTTGTTGGGGAGGAATCTTAGCAATAACTGGAAATCTTGGGGGGAGGGTGGTTAGCAACACTTATCTAGAAATGCTGTATTAATTGTTTATTCACCACTTTAACAGTAGTATGAAAGCGCATTACGGAGTAAAATTGATAGTGGGGGCTGCAGTCCCCTTGACTCATGCGGTGCTGTTTGTAATGTGTCTGAGATTCCCTTTTGAAATTTCCCTGAGGAATGAAGTATAATTACTAACACTCTCCCCAGCTTGTATCAGTTGGTAATGTTAGTAAGAATTATAAAATAAGAGCTTAACAAAAAATAAATTAATTCAGCTACAGCCTTTCTTCCTCTAATATTTCGTTTTGAAATCTGCCTCAGGAATAATACAAGCGAGATTTTACATTTACCAGAATGATATATGGGGGTGAGCAAGGCAAGAATTGCATTACCCTGTTTGCATGGGATATGCAACAGTGCTCAGTACATGAGTTAATGGTCCTTCAGTCTCAAATTACAGGCTTCTGTAGTACTTTCTGCCATAGTATCCCAATTTTATTTAGCATATGTAAGCATGGGGATGGAGTTAGTGGAAATACACAATATTAATTTTTTCCAAACCTCAAAATAGCCTGTATGACCTCTCATCTGTTTCTACCCTGCATGAGTTCTCTGGGCCTTAGAAGTCTAAAGTTCTTGCAAACTATCCAAACAGATGAGAGATTTTCAGGGATGACTGTTGTGGTTTAACCTCAGCCGGCAACTAAGCACCACCTATACATGAAGGACAGAACCTTTATCCACACACAGAACTGGAAAAGTAGTTCTGTGCTACCAGAACAGCTCCAAATACCTTATGACATGGGAGGTCTATGTAGATTTCCGGGGTAATGCCACTGCTGTAAAGGTTTGCTTATCTTAAGGAGCCACTCTGATCAGTGACTCAGCACAAGCCAGGATGAGCCTCACCTTGTTGATTATGCATTGGCCCTAATAACTTGTACTGACTTATATTCTGTACTCTTGTCTGTACTCTTGTCTGTACATACTCTGTCCAGTATACATCCATCTTTGCTGATGTTGGCAAAGACATTTTACTTTTTTTCCTTTGGACTGCTGTTCAAATAGGAATTTTGTTTCCTTCCTTGTAAGAAAAAAAAACCCTAACTCATTTGTAATGGGTTGATCAAGTATTTTAAAGCTAGCTAGTTGATGCAGATCTGCATACAGACTACCACATTAATCAGTCTTTCCAATTGGACTGAGGTACTTCAGCTCTAAGAACAGAAATATCTGCAATTTCAATATTTCCCAGCTGGGAACCTGGTCTCTTTGAGCCAAGAGGGTGTACTGAATTGTAATAGCTGTCTTCCATGGCCTGTCCAATCTCATGAGATTTCATCTCCCCTTGCAAGATTCAAAGAGAAATTCCTATTGATCTGCTTCTGCGGTGCACAGCAGAGAAGCGCTGTTGCTAATTCTAGTTAGTTCACATTGCAGCCCATTAGTTTCCTCTTAGCTGTAATCTCTCCCTCATACATGCAAAGGTCTAAACAGCCAGCATGTCTGCACCTGAAGTTATCATTCTTCTGAGCACAGTCATTGAATGAAGGCAATTCATTAAAGATAGATTGGAAGTAATACTAATGCCTGTCTGTCCTCTCCTGGAATCACCAGCTGACAAAGGCTGATGGCCATAAGTCAATTATCTGTTTACTTAAGGGCATCAGGCCCATCACAACGTAATCCGTCAATAGTAACCTTGACCTGTTCATTAAGACCAATTGAAATAACCACCTTTTGATATGTAAATGAAAAACATGGAATCAGGAGCAAAAAGCATTTCTTGAACCAGCTTCCATCTCTGCACCTTCTAGGTTTACAGAGGAGGCCAAGAAGGAACGACATCCCTTTGCATACCTGCCCTTTGGGGCAGGACCCCGTGGCTGCATTGGCATGAAGATGGGTTTGCTGGAGACAAAAATGACTCTGCTGAGGATTTTGCAGAAGTTTCAATTTAAGACCTGCTCAGAGACTGAGGTTTGTACATGCAGAAGCTTGAAAGCCATGCTTGTCAACGTCAGTGAGTTGACAGTGTGTCCTAGACAGGACAGCTTACTTGCCTTTGTGACTTTCTCTTCATTTGAGAAAATTGCTAGAGCCACTTCCATGATAAGGAGCGATAAGAGGCCTGGACTGCATGTTTTAATCAAAATGTGATTTAACCTTTATGATTTTTCCAACAAAACAGTTACACACTCCTACCTTAGTGGAGAGCATTGTAGCAACACTGTAGCCAAAATATCTTGATTTATACAGGGTGAGAATGGGTGTACATCCTTCATGGGATCTCAGCATTTTAGTATATGCCTATTGCTGTATGTATTGCACCTGGCACTTAACTCAGCAGCTCTGGAGTTTACAGAGTTAATTTCTTTCTGTTCAGATCTACAATATACCTGGGCAACCACTGCCTCAGCCTCTGGCTGTAAATTCTATTTAATATTATACTACCACAGCTGACTGTAAAACAAGTACTTTACAGCTTCCACAGTAATCCTGGTATGAATTGGTCCCCCAGCAAAAATGTCTGCCTGTATCTGGGGGTGTTATACACACATAAACAAATACATACAACTGTACATAAGATGCTCTTTTTTCTTTCAGATTCCTTTGCAGCTGAAATCAAAAGCCACACTTGGACCAAAAAATGGAGTCTACATTATGCTGGAATCTCGCTAAAAGAAAATGTACTTCCTGAAACCTCCTGGGATGGCAGCCCTTGTTCAGTGACTCAATGGGTATAATTGTTTTTCAAAACCCCAAAGACAGGTAGGAGCCTAAGTTCCACCGATGGTCAGCAGGTGCTGCCTCACTGCCCTCCTGTGGGAGATCCTCCAGTCACTGCTTAAAATGAGATGTGGGCGCCACAGCCATTTGGTGGTTTTCAAATTGCTGTGAATAGTATCTGCAAAGAAGCAGCCCACTTTCACTTGCTTTTCTACATTACACTTCCTTTCACTCATCTTTGAGAATGCTTTTTTCATGCTCAAGTTCAATGAATGGAGCAGGTGTTAAGCGTACACTAGATTTACAATAGATTTTAATTACCATTCATTATCTCACACATCCTTCTCATGCACTTCTAAGTCCCTACTCTAGAAAAAGCCCAAGAGGCACCACAGTTATAGCAGAAGACCTGGGATCCAGTACGTTGGATTTTATCCTGAACTCTGCTAAAAATCAAAGCGGAGTCTCCTGTACAATGCTTAATCTCTCCCTGTGTCTGTAAAGTGGAAGGAGTTGCACCTTCTTTGTGCTTTTGAAGTGATTTGAAATATGCTTAGATTAACAATTTGCACTTGGCACATTGCATCGACATAATTGGAGAGGAATGAAGAGTTCCCCTGTTTAGCAGTTAAGTTCCAGTAGCTAAGACCAAAGAAATGAGGTGGCAGCCATTTTGCTGGTTACTGAACTGCTGTTGGAAAGGTGGAGAAAAGAAGATACAAATTTAATGAAAGCAGGAAGACTGGAGGAAATTTAAGGGTATTCAGAAGGTGTTGGTACAACATCTGCTTCACTGCTTTGAGGCCTTTCCTTTCCAAGCATTGCAGTTGGCACCATCCTTGTCTAGCTCATTGACTCAAGGACATTAAGAGCGCTGCATGCACTGAAGCCAATGGCAAGGGAGTGGGATCCAGGATCATCAGTCCCAGCAGCTCTTGATTCCTTATGTGACCCCGGAGCAGGTCATGTCCCAAATGTCTCACTCCGGTCAGGAAGGAACTTGTCTGATTGCCAGCTGCAGCAGCACCATAGATCCATTCAAGCTGTATGGCTGTGCACATGCATCTACACAGCCAAAGCAGCAGTATGCTTTCACGCTTTGCATTCCCTCCATGCTCTTTCCTACTCCTCTACAAAGCCCTTCAATCACCACACAGCTAGCGGAGCATCACACAGCAGTGATCGATTGTCCTGAAAAAAAGACATTTCCTTCACTGGGCACCACAAACTGGTTGGCTGTACAACAAAACCATGAGAGGAGATGGTCTCAGTCTCAGGGTCCTTTGTTTTTCTTTTTTTTTTTTTTTAAGGTTTTTATAAATAGCAAAAATTCTTATGGCACCATAAGAATAAGGAAGCACCTTTCGGTTCTTCGCAAGTGTTGAATTTCTGCTTGCTGGCATACTCTGCTCGAGGTTTCCTTAGGAACAGCATCTGTCTTGGTGGTATGCACAGAGAAGTGTCATGGCAGCAGTAGGAAGAGGCTGACTGCTCAGCTTCACTGCAAGGACTGCTGGAAGGAGCCATCTGCTCACTGATCCCTAGTTGTAGTTTCTCTCCAGCAAGCACCTTTTGCTGCCGTCTTCTCACATGCTGCCTTAACACTGATCAAATTACTGTTTCTTGCTCCTGGAAGATTTTGTCTTTTTCTTTCATGGGATATATTTTTTTTTTTAAACCAGAACTGTACAGGTAGTAGTGGTGAAGTACTGACCTGGCAGTCTTGGAATTGTTCCTATTTCCACGGAGCATCTCTGGCATGCTAATAAAGTGCCCTGTTACAGATACACTGGTTATATGAATTACTGATGGAGTGATTGTTATTTATTTAAAAAGCAATATACTGTATATACCCTAATTTCTACACATTATCCATCATTTTTCCCTCATGAAAGTAGTGTGCTGGCAGCTGATTTACTGTACAGCTTATACATACAACTGGCAACAAGTTGGATGGGCCTTGCCTAGAAACATCCCACCTACCTGAATGAGCAGGAAGCTCATTCCAGTCTGAAGTTAGCTGTCACAGGCTTGTTTGTCCCTTCAAAAATATCCTGTTAATCACAGCGTGTTTGTGCACCCATATAACACAGTCCCAAACCGATCCTGAGCAGAGTTGGCTTTAGTATTCATGAGAAAAAAACTACTAAAAAAGGAGTTATGTTTATAGTTGCAACATCAAAACGTAACTTTATATCTTTAAATTATGGTGACTTAGCATTTGTGGTACAGCACGCTTCAATCAACAGCGGTTGATTCTAGGGAAGAACAAGGAAACCTATTTAAAATAACTTCTCTCCTCAGAAAGAGTAAGTGTGTTGTCTTGCATTGCTGAGCTGTGGGTTTGTTTCAAATTGGGCCTGTCTGTTTTACAAAAGGGTCTTAGTCATTCTCTGACAGCTGATACAAAGCAAAGGATGCTTGGTAAAGGAAAGCTTCTATTAAAAACACCTTCTGGGACTTTGCAATGATTACGGAAAGCTGTCAGTATAAAGTGGTATTTTTAATGAGTGCTGAGATAGAAAACCTTTACAGTTCTGTACTTCATAAATAGTTTTCCTGGAAAAACAGAGCTGGGTGTTAAAAATTATTATGCTTGATTGATTGTAAATTTGAACCATCTATTCTTACCTGGCATTAAACTGCAGAATTTCCTCTCTGTGTGTGATACTTTCTGAAATGACCACCTTCTCATTTCCCTTTGTTAAATGATGTTTCCATCTTGGACACAGGCTTCACCTAATATCAGACTCTTCTGTGCATTTACAGTAGTAAATATGCTAAAAGAATTTAAAGCTGCTTTACAAACTGTTTATTCATTCCTTGGTTCGCACTGGCCCCTTTCTTCTGACTGTGAAAAGTCTGATGAGTCTCTAAGATGTTTGCTCCCTGCACTGCTGGGTGCTATTGCTACTTTCAAGGAGGGAGCAGGATTCCCTCCATTGCTAGGATTTTTGCAAGTGGAGATGAAGCCGTGACCGGGCCTGAAACAAGAAGTGCAAGGGAGCTATTCGGGCCCATGAAGCCTATCCCCTGATAAAACAGCTAAGTCCCAGTAACCCTGGCCATATAAAAGAGCCATCCTCCTGGGTTTTGTGCTGGCAGAAGTATTCCAAGTAAAGCAGCATTTCTACAACTCCCACTGGCCCTTCGGCTCAAAGGCAGCCCTGAGCAATGGTTTCTAAGAAGCAAGTCTTCTCCAAGCCAAGCAGCACTGAGCACACTACCGTAGCTGGTACGTGCCACCCACCTAAGTTCCTCTTATCCACCACCCCTACTTCGCCAGGCTGCAGGTATCCGAACTGGGTAGTGTACTGCCACTCCTTTGCTGCCACCCCTGACAGAGAGGATTTTGGCACCCACATCTTATAAAATCTAGGCAGAATATCATGACAAACCTGATTACAGGTAAAACTCATTAAATGGTGTGGTGGGTTGACCTTGGCTGGCTGCCAGGCCCCTACCCAGCCCAGCGGGTTGGGGGGGCAGGGGTTCATAAACTACTGTGCTCCGTACCACACTACTGGCATAGCGAAGTTGTTTGGCTTCTGCTGGCTTGCCATCTGTCTTGCCAGGATGGACCTGTTACCAAAAAAGGAAACAACCTTCACAGCTTATCTTTCTCCTCACATGGTATAGGAGTGAGAGAGAGATTATTACACTGTTCCCGCTCAGTTTCTTGTCTTAAGTAGCCAAGAGATATCCTCCTCACTCAGAAAAGAGGTTCAATATAAATTTTTGTCTAAAGTTTAGATTTAATGCAAATGACTCTTGAATCTGTTTATTTCCAAATGCAATCCAAACAGCTGTAGAGGGACTCCACTACTTAACAGCAGCATGAACCTCATGAGGCTTAACAAGGCCAACTGCAAGGTCCTGCACCTGGGTCGGGGCAAGCCCCGGTATCAATACAGGCTGGGGGATGAAGGGATTGAGAGCAGCCCTGCCGAGAAGGAGTTGGGGGTGCTGGTGGATGAAAAGCTAGACATGAGCCAGCAACGTGTGCTCACAGCCCAGAAGGCCAATCGTATCCTGGGCTGCATCAAAAGAAGCGTGGCCAGCAGGTCGAGGGAGGGGATTCTGCCCCTCTACTCCGCTCTGGTGAGACCCCACCTGGAGGACTGCGTCCAGCTCTGGAGCCCTCAGCATAAGAAAGACACGGACCTGTTGGAGCGGGTCCAGAGGAGGGCCATGAAAATGCTCAGGGGGATGGAACACCTCTCCTGTGAAGAAAGGCTGAGAGAGTTGGGGTTGTTCAGCCTAGAGAAGAGAAGGCTTCGGGGAGAACACCTTGCAGCCTATCAGTACTTAAAGGGGGCTTACAAAAAAGATGGTGGCAACCTCTTTAGCAGGACCTGTTGCGACAGGACAAGGGGGAATGGCTTTAAACTACAGGGGGGTAGATTTAGACTAGATATAAGGAAGAAATTTTTTACGCTGAGGGTGGTGAAGCACTGGCACAGGTTGCCCAGAGAGGTGGTGGCTGCCCCATCCCTGGAAACGTTCAAGGTCAGGTTGGACGGGGCTCTGAGCAACCTGATCTAGTTGAAGATGTCCCTGCCCATGGCAGGGGGGTTGGACTAGATGACCTTTAGAGGTCCCTTCCAACCCAAACTGTTCTATGATTCTATAATCTTTAAGAAAGTTTCCAAGAACTCAGAAACATAGTGAAACATGGTGCTTTTAGTATTGAGAGACAGAAAACCATTACAAGGAATTTAGCGGTTCGAATACTTGTTTATTTACTACACATGAGAAAGTTACCACTGCAGTTTCAAAAGTGGAAAACATGGTAACTTTACTTTTGTTAATGGAGAAATAACAGATGACAAAGTAACACAACCACCCATTTTATTCCAGTTGTTTTACTTACACAATCCTTACACATCCCCCCCAAGAATTAATTTAAAGGTTTTAAAAATATTACTAGCCATCAAAAATGTTATTAAAAAAATCTCAACTTTTTGCATGAAAAAATGTTTGTTTCAATTTTCTGGTGAAAGATTAACATGACTTTAGCTATTCCAGTTCTTAGCTGAAATGCTGGTTATGTTCAGAGGAAGAAAGGCATCCTACCAGTATCCTCATTTGCCATAAACGTGTAGATGAACATGTTTTTTGTTTTGGCAGAAAAATCTTACTCTGCACAGGTATGAAAGCTTTCATACACTATGTTATCCTCCTCAATGAACATAGTATTTGCTGACAAGCTCATTTACTGACATGAGATTTATCATGTATGTTGTATTACAAATCTTTCAAAAGAAAGAATACAGTCAACTTGCTTTTCCACAGCCTGTGTTTTACTGGGTTTAAACATGAATAGGAGTATTTTACTTTAGATATCATGCTTCTAGTTTTACAGTTCATATAAAAAGGAGTTCTGCACAGCCTTACTCCAGCTAATCATGGCTAAGCTCCTGGTTTACAGTGCTGAAGTAATAAAGAGCTAGTCAGTGTACATCTGTCAATCATCATCCAGATGAATTAAAAAGAAATATTTCTAGAATATACAAAGTATATCTTAAGGCTTTTGCAGTACATTATAGCTAAGAAGTACTCATTTAGGAGCATTAAAGCTGTGATAAAGTATCTGTCCATGCATCAGCAACTTTAATCTTAAGAAATACTTGACAGTTCCAAGGTTTTTTTTATTTGCATACATGTATGCTGGCTGCTCAACGCTAATAACATCTTTTGCTGGTGTCGGGGTTTAACCCCAGCTGGCAACTAAGCCCCACACAGCCGCTTGCTCACTCCCCCCCAGTGGGAAAGGGGAGAGAATCAGAAGGGTAAAAGTGAGAAAACTCATGGGTTGAGATAAGAGCAGTTTAATAGGTAAAGCAAAAGCCACGCACGCAAGCAAAGCAAAACAAGGAATTCATTCACTCCTTCCCATCGGCAGGCAGGTGTTCAGCCATCTCCAGGAAAGCAGGGCTCCATCACGCGTAACGGTTACTTGGGAAGACAAATGCCATCACTCCGAACGTCCCCCCCTTCCTTCTTCTTCCCCCAGCTCTATATGCTGAGCATGATGTCACATGGTATGGAATATCCCTTTGGTAAGTTGCGGTCAGCTGTCCCAGCTGTGTCCCCTCCCAACTTCTTGTGCACCCCCAGCCTACTTGCTGGTGGGGTGGTGTGAGAGACAGAAGAGGCCTTGACTGTGTCAGCACTGCTCAGCAGTGACTAAAACATCCCTGTGTTATCAACAGTGTTTCCAGCACAGATCCAAAACATAGCCCCATACTAGCTACTGTGAAGAAAATTAACTCTACCCCAGCCAAAACGAGCACAGGTAGGAACAACTAAATATTCAACTTAATCTTCAGATTTTTAAAGGTTTCAGCTCTGTAGCTGAAGACCACTCCCCAGGTAAGCACATTTTTCCTCCAAGAAAGTCCAAAGACACCTTGATTACACAGGTAACCAGTGTATCTCCTGCAACCAAAGGGGCAGTACACCTAACGAGAGACAGTCACTCACTGTCCTTCCCAACAGCTGTAAGAGAACCATAAAGTTGCTCCACAGAAACAGGGTACTGCTAATCAAGCAGTGCAAGCAGTGTATTTCACTCCTAAGTATGATATTCTTAAATGACAGGGTGAGTTGCCTCCTCTTCTCCCCCCCCCCTGCCCCAGCACCTGCCAGCACGCACTCTCTCACAGTGGAAGTCATGAAAAACTTGTGTTCTCACAGACCTAAAATACAGCATTTATTTGATACAGTAAGTCAACTGAGTAGCACAGCACCAGGCAACCCTTGCTTCGTGTCTTTGGTACTTCTTTTAAATGAGAAAATTAACAAGTGAAAATAAGTCTCTGTTCCTTTTCAACAACGAAGTTTAATTTTTGAGGCTTTGTTGGTGAAGATTAAGTAGGGACAAAAACCAGTGCTGCTAAGAATTTATGCAATGAGTTGAGCACAGAGACAGAGATTGTACAGTCTCATTTGCAAACACTTGAATGTCTACTGTCACAGGAGACAGATTATTAAAAAAAGCAGGTTTTATCAAATTTTGAGTTAAAAGATAAACAGGTAGAAGGAGACAGCCTCTGACGAACGAGCATGTGTAAAGATCTATCCTGAAACAATTATAACTATATATTGTTTAAACTTGGCAGTCATAGCCAATCCTCATGTTAAAACCGTCAGTGAATTCATCTAATAAATTTATAAAAGTCTCTAGTAATGCAGGGAAACATGATACCTGTTAAAGAATAGGAGACAGACACAGGATTTTAAGAATTCTAAGACATCACTTGTGTCTTTTTACCCCTTGTTTTCTATTGCACAGAAAGGATAGAGAATAAATGCTTCTGAACACTCACCTACCCAATTACACAACTTCTAAAAATCACTTTTTCTCTCTTAAGCCAATACTAAAAAAAAAATGTTTATACCAGCTAAACATAATGATGACAGGTTTTGCTGCTATAGCATTTTTGCCAATGCCTAGTGAATGTATTCTATGAGATACTCTGGATAAATCTGCTGCTTCTCAAAGATGACAAAGATAGAAGGGTTTGAAGAGCTATTCACACAACTGTCGTAGAAGTTTTGGTTGTCCTTCAAGGGAGGTCGAACATAAGAAGAACTACCAAGAGTGAACTCCCCCACCAGCACCCGTGCCAGAAACATGGTCTTGGTGTATGAGTCTTCCCTGCAGTAGTTGTCAGAATAAGATGCATCCCTTGCAAAATAGCTTCCTGCAGAAGAGACACCAAGACAGAGTTGGTAAGACACCAAAATTGCAGGGAAGGAAGTGATACAGTGTGAAAGCGAATTCATAAACAAATCCATTAAGCAGTTCATGAACGGCCTTTCCAAAGCCTTCACTTGTCCTGTACATCCTTTTTAGTGAAAATGACTACTATGTATTACCTACACTTTTATTTTTCACAGCACACATATTAAAAAGCCACACAAGTAATGTTTTAAATGTTATCATATTCCTTAAAAAGATTTCCTCCTGACCCTAGGTGTCCACCTTCCCCAATCTCACTCAAGTCCCTCTCCTGACAGAGGCTAGTAATGTTCATTAGAACAAGTGGCGTCCCGCAGGGGTCCGTATTGGGACTGGTACTGTTTAATATCTTCATCAATGACACAGACAGTGGGATCGAGTGCACCCTCAGCAAGTTTGCAGATGACACCAAGCTGAGTGGTGCGGTCGACACGCCAGAGGGATGGGATGCCATCCAGAGGGACCTGGACAAACTCGAGAAGTGGGCCTGTGTGAACCTCATGAGGTTTAACAAGGCCAAGTGCAAGGTCCTGCAGCTGGGTCGGGGCAACCCCCAGTATCAATACAGGCTGGGGGATGCAGGGATTGAGAGCAGCCCTGCCGAGAAGGACTTGGGGGTGCTGGTGGATGAAAAGCTGGACATGAGCCAGCAATGTGCGCTCACAGCCCAGAAGGCCAATCGTATCCTGGGCTGCATCAAAAGAAGCGTGGCCAGCAGGTCGAGGGAGGGCATTCTGCCCCTCTACTCCGCTCTGGTGAGACCCCACCTGGAGGACTGCGTCCAGCTCTGGAGCCCTCAGCAGAAAGAAACGGACCTGTTGGAGCGGATCCAGAGGAGGGCCATGAAAATGATCAGGAAGATAGAACACCTCTCCTCTGAAGAAAGGCTGAGAGAGTTGGGGTTGTTCAGCCTAGAGAAGAGAAGGCTTCGGGGAGACCACCTTGCAGCCTATCAGTACTTAAAGGGGACTTACAAAAAAGATGGTGGCAACCTCTTTAGCAGGACCTGTTGCGACAGGACAAGGGGGAATGGCTTTAAACTAAAGGGGGTAGATTTAGACTAGCTATAAGGAAGAAATTTTTTACGCTGAGGGTGGTGAAGCACTGGCACAGGTTGCCCAGAGAGGTGGTGGCTGCCCCATCCCTGGAAACATTCAAGGTCAGGTTGGACGGGGCTCTGAGCAACCTGATCTAGTTGAAGATGTCCCTGCCCATGACAAGGGGGGGTGGACTAGATGATCTTTAGAGGTCCCTTCCAACCCAAACTATTCTATGACTCTATGATTCTATTTCTGAGAGTTACAAAGTATTCAAGCGGATATGGGTGGGTAGTCAGTCAGTCAGCCTGTGTCTTGGCTATTTCACTTGGTATGTCGGTCCTTTCCTGTACACAGCACAATGTAAAGGAATATAATTTGCTAACAAGGCAAAAAGCCCGCAAGCAGGATGGCATTTACATTCCTGGAAAAAAAAAAAACAAATAATGCCACGTTGCCTTCCTATAGGAGCTTGGAGAAATTGGAACAGAAGTAAGCCTGGACTCTAGGAGAAACCATCCCTAGAACTGGCCTCTCCTAAGCTTGTCTCTTCTCTTACAAGGACAGAGTAGAACATAAAGGCCAAGGCCTTTTAGTATGCCTTAGCTCCAAATGATCATTGCCAAAGTCAGCTATGTTGTCCACATAATTACAGAGGTAAGTCCTAGATTGGCCGAGTGCCCTCTTTTTAACTTCACATCTCTGCAGTAACTACTGAGAATTTTCTAGCAAGTTTAGGGTTAATAAAAGAGCTGAAAAACTACCTTTGCCGTAGACTGTCCCGTGAAGGCCACAGATCCTCCAGTCAAAGTTTTGCTGACAGATGGCATCAATGTATTTTTTACTGGTCCCATGAAATAAAAATCGCTCATCCACAGCCTTTCCACGATTGGTCTTCTGCATTTGTTCCTTCTGCCTGAAATAAGAAGCAGTATGTTTGCAGTTCCACAGTGGCTGTACCCAGTTTCCAGCCGTACTAGCACTCAGACAATTTTACGCAAAGAGTACGTTCTGAAAGTCCTGACATTAATGTCTAAACTTCGGGCATACAGGGTATTTTGCTGTCTAGCTCCGTACAAACATGCTTTCATTATACATAAATGCCTCCAGATATTTAATAATAAAAATGTTTTGTTTCATTCACTGCCTATTGGGAGAGCGGGAGGAATCTTACCATTATTTTTTTTCTAAATACAGGAGTTCATATTAAGGCTTTCCATCAGTGAGTTTTGCATTTAGTTTTGAAGGCTGTTTCAGTTTTGACCAGCTACAAACAAGCGTTTGTGCCAGATGTGACTGATTACCAGTTCAAGGCTTCAGTGGAAGGCAGCTGTCCTGGACACAGGCCTGGCAGAAGTCAGAACCACTTACTCAGGAGCAAGGATTCCTCCCACAGCGCTCATCTGACTATTCTAAGCTGTATGTCTTGACTGAGTTTTGGTTTTCTCGGTACGTCTTTATCTACATGTTGATCCTGGCTAGGTATTTCAGCTGGGGAGTGGAAGCAGATTCTTAAATGCAGCTGCGTTTCAGGAATGCGTGTGTCTATCTTTAGCAGACAGCTAACTGCAGAAACAACAAACTTCATGCACACATACAAGAGCAGTATTTTACACATACCATTGATACAGTTCCCAGAGAGATGGGTTCTGAACTCTATGAATCCTTTTAATAATTGTTTTGGGCATTGTGCGTTGAAAGTCCACCTTGACTTTCTTGTATTCTTCGGAAGAACTGTCAAGCTCGATCAGCTATAAGGAAAAGATTAAAAAGCTACTCTCATCTTTTACCAAATCATAACAAAGCCACCCTACCTAGTGCACTGCTCAGACCTTTAAAGTCTTTTCTGTGAAGCAGAGGTAGAGCAGCAAAAGTACTCTTGGAAAAAAGGCAGATTAGAGATCCCTGCTCTGTAAAAGTGAGCTCTTGCCTAGGGAAAATTAACTCCTGGGGTTTAAGACATCCAGGTTGCTCTCTCACAGGAGATTAAAGGAGCTGCACGCTTTTATGCAGCCACCCAGCCCCTTTTAATATTTGGGCCGAGCTACATTTGCATGTATATATCAAACGGTACCTAAATACATAGAAGAAATGAGCACATAAATAAAAAAAGAACGAAGAATTTATGTTGCAGCAAATCAAAGAGTACGTCTACACCCATGCTTTTTAAATCTTTATAGTTTATACTCCCTACAGCCAGTGAACACAAACTGCACTGCCTGTTATGTTTTTAAATAAATTGAAAAGGCTTTATTCAATCAACCATTTTAGGGAAGAGTAGGGACACACTGCCAAAAATCAGTTTCTTACATGACAGTCCTGAAAGCAAGCAAAGTTTTCTACTTGCATGTTTTCCCTAGGAACATCAAGAATGTCAACATTAGCCTTCCCTATTTTTTATTGAGAATTTCTTGAGGATTTGCATTTTGCAAGTTTGTAATTTTCAAGCTTCATAAAAGAAGATCTTTTCTGTAGGTATAGTTACTAGAGTTGACAGACATGGTGGTGGAGGCAGGCAGGATGTCAAAGGTAAACCATGCAGATATTAACTGGGTGTGTTACAAAGGTAAACAAGTTCACTCCACTGGAGTTATAGTACATTTTGATAAACGATCCCAGCCTGAACTCTGCCGATTTCTGCAATGCTCCACAGACTTACAACAGCCTACTTATACACAGCTCAGGGAATGGCTACCCTGAAGTTTAGAGGCATGATTTATCTCTGATGCTTCAGCACATGCTGGACTTCAAAGCTACGTATCTTGGGCACCAGTAACAGTCTAGCTAATACAGCATAAGCTTCAGGCAAATTTGCCAAGGAAAGGGATAAATAGTAGCAGTGAAAGTCAATGTTGCCATGGTTATACTGCCACCATTTGTTAGTTTAAATTTAGGTCTAGTTTCACCACTGGGTCTGCCCAGTGTGATTATCAGGCTTGAATTTACCAACACCTCTGCATTACGTTACAGAAGAAATGGTCATCTACAAACGCACAAGAAACACTGAACTTGAGATGTAACAAACCTGTATGTGACAAAACTGATGGAGAGAAAAAACAAAAAGCTCCAAACCTTGAATCCCAGATCAGGCAGGGCAGATTTGTCCCAGTGAGCTGGAATGCCCTTAAACTGTTCTGTATGTTTAAAGCCCCTGTACATTACAAGACATTACAAATAGGTAATTAAAACAAAACAAATCCCTACATTTTATGTATATATGATACTAAACATTTTTGCCAAATTTAGGGAGAATATAGGCAACTGAACATATTCAGAAACATTTCAAAATTGTCTTTTCAGTTCAGTACATGAAAATATTTGTTCTAAATCATCATGTCAAGACTTATGGCAGGAAGCAAGATGCCAAATGAGAAAAAAAATTAGATATACACTGAACTAAACATGAAAGTAGTTCTCTTAGTTGCAGAGTTGAATGTATACATAAAAGCTCTGCTACACTGGGCTAGATAAATAAAAATGCATCCAGTATCATATCGTATCAATATGACAGAAACAGGATAGATACAGTCCTCCCCTCTGCTTCCACCCCAATTTTAATTAGTGTGTTTAGCTGCTCTTTCCTGTGTTGTTTAAGCAAGCACTGTGTGCTGCAAGGGAATGCGTAAAAAAAGTTGGCTGTTACATGCAACTACATAAAACTCCCCTTGCAGACTCCCAGCTTTTGCTCCACCTGTAACAGCTACTACTTTCCTCTCAGATTGTCTGGCTGTTCTCAAAAGAATTGTTTCTAAACTTGTACTTGGCTTTGAAAATTACTGATCTCAGATGTCAGAAAGGGCTAGTATGCATAAATGTTATTGCTTCCATCTGTATCAGCTGCTCTAATAAGATATCTCCCTAACAACATTGCTACATGTTGAATTATTTTCTATGCTTCCACGCTTTCTGTGGCCAAGCCCAAACTTCCTTCACCCCCAAGGCTCCTCAGTTGCTTGAAAACTGTTGGTCAGGCTGCAATACTGCCCTGGCTAGACATTGTTGTAGGAAAGGTATGTCCCTTCCCCTCTCAATTTCTTTTACAATTGCCTTAACAGCTACTCCTTCACCTTATTTACACCCTTGGAAGACACCGCATTCACAATGCACTAAATCCATCACCTCCGAATGAGCAGTTGCAGTTTACCTTGCTCTTGTCTTTTCTACCTCTGTCTGAGAGACAAATTTAGGTCTTCTGCAAATCTCTCTCTCTGTTGTGTAGCGAAGATTTTTCTGAATCATGGCTGGGGACAAAAAAAACGAACAATCAGAAAGATGTTTTAGAAAGCCTTCACACTGCAGCAAAACTTGCTACTAAGTTGTTTTGTCAAAAATGTTGACAAAAAGGCAGTGAGCTTTTTTTATTGCTACACAAAGGGAAGTCGGAGAAGGATGTGGAACCCACAGTCTATCTGTATAAATCACCAAGAATGATTTCAGTTTCAGTTTTGCTCTTAACTTTAGAAGGAATGATAGACACTGGCAGCTATTTTCCCTTCATTGTTCCATCAGCCACACAACCGAAAAAGATCATTGTAAAAATAAGTCTCTACTTTTGCTCCATGGATTGCATCCCCTCCTTCTCAATCTGCAATCAAGATAACTGTTTTCCTACATGTAGTTGTAGATTTCAAACCCTATAAACACAACCTAACGGCTATCACAGGCCATTCATTTTTACTGACCACCAACAGAAACAAGTCACAGCAACCTGAATTTTAGAGGCATTCTTTCTGGATCTTGGAACCTCTGTAGCTACTGCCACATCATACCAGTAACTAAGAGTCAGTAGCAGCCAGGAGAATGAGGCCTCATCTTCAGAGAGAGATACACAGGAAGAAAACAAACAAACCAACCCACCCACCCACCCTCTTGGCACCACCAAGCCTAGAAACTAAGTTTTGCGAGATGCCTACATTGAGTATGTTTGCCTAAGTTACTAAAAAAGCCCAAACCTTAGAAAAGGGATTGATTTACTGTGCAATTTTCCCTTCTAAGCCAGACAAGTTTCCCCACTCTATAGAGAAGATTACAGCATTGCTTTCAATTGAATCACAAACAACATATCACATGCCCTTTCTCCTTGTTTTTTTTTTTCCATGCAGAATAAGATAGTAATGGAGAGTTGGATCAAAGGCAACTACACCAAAATGACAGTCTAGGCAGGCTGATTCCCACCACTGCTGTTCTCCATGATTTTTGAAAAGGATACCTGGAAAGGCAACAGCTCAGAGAGGACAGTGCCATCACAAGTGGCTTAAATTTCCTGAACTCTTGGGAAACACATCTTCCTACTTTGACATAGTCAAGGTATTTCCTCAGCCTTTCCAGACAGGCAGAGCTATGAAAAGAAAATAGCTACATAAATCTTGCAATCCTAAGGATTGTCTGGACCCTACACCTTGCTCAAGCATTCATTTTTCTGCAAGCCAGTGATTAAAGCAGACAAGAAGCTGGCTTGCCAAGTCTCCCAGAAGTTTCTCACCGTTTGTGTTGGTGCTAGCATCAATGGCAATGTCACACTCGGACTTGCTGGCAGACATTTTGAAACCTAGCACAAGAACTTCTCAAAAATAAAAGGTTTGGAAGAATAGGAATGCCACTTTGCTTGTGTGAACAGCTCTTATCCCAAGAACTTTGATAGAAGCTCTGTCTCTGTAAGCATTGCAGTTCAAAGTTCAAATTTCTCTCTCCTATCTTCTGTAGTAATGTAGTTTAAAACCACAAAAGACCTGGGAGGGAGGGAGGGACAAAACAAAAAACCAAAGCAAATAGAACCTACCTCCAAAATTGAGTTCATATTCATGTCTTCCAGCTTTGAAGTTCAGCTTTGGAGAACCTTTGGCTATGTAAGCTTTCTCCAGGTCATCGCTGGAGACAGTGGCAGCTGCATGATCACCATCCTGTCAAGACAAAACCAGAGAAAAAAGATTCTCCTGGTCTGTTATATACAAGCAAGTTTAAAAACCAGCAACTGTCAAATGGTGTGGTGGCTGCAGTATGTATCAGCCTTTGTGCATGATAAGCGGCTTTCAGGCAAAAGCCATGTATTTAAGCAGTTGAAACTGTCCCTAAAACAAACCAAGCAGTATTATGAAGCCTAAACTTACACTGCAAAGTGCATGCGGTGAACACTACTACTGAGACCACACATTCACCAACTAGACCTTAGCAAAGATGCACAGAATACTTCTGGAACCTCAGAAAAGGAAGTTTTAGTCAGGAGCAATGAAAAGAATGTATTAATGTGATCCTATCTGACACGACTCGCTGAAGAATTATCTGTCAATAGTATTTGTGACTCACCAGTAAGCACTCCCCTACCTGAACCAATCAAATTTGCAGGGGAAAGATTCCATTAGGCCTCTAAAGTCCATTTGTACAGTATGAGTGAGAGGGAGGGAGGGAGGGAGACAGACAAAAGAGGGGAAGGATATAAACACTGTGTACTTTTCAGTAGTTGTGCACTTTTAACAGAGTTGAGAGTCTCCCCATTTCTCCACACTTACTTTTTTTCCATACTCCTGCCACTGGCCGTATTCATCTTTCCAGTACCAGATCCATTCTGTTGTAAGAATGAAGTGAGGGGGTTTGGTCACAGAGGAGGCTGTAGAAAGACGTCTAACCTTTGCAAACCCGCAGCGCATATTCAGAAAACAGATACATGACAAGACAGAGCCACTTTCAGTAACACCATTATTAAATCTATAAAAAAAGGGAGAAAAAAAATCAGAACTGTTTGTGAAGCTTTACACATATGTTCAGAAACCCACCACAAATTTGCAAATTAAGTCAACATCACTCAAAAGCAGAACACAAACCTACAGTTTCCACAATAATCCCAGCTCTGTCTTGTGTTTGTACTATTTTGCATTACAGTATTACATCTCACATTGGTTCCATGCACAGTAACCATTATCAACTCATAAATTAGTGAGTTACATGAGATGAACAGAAACAGTGGAACATGTACACTGCCTTCTTGCTAACCAATTATATTCTAATCAGAACACTCTCATAACTTAAGCACGGCTTCAAAGAGCCTCTAACGTAACATAAGAGGGCTAGGTAAATTCTCCAGCATGGGACACAGCATACTGGTATGAGCCCCTTCCAATACCCTCTTCCTGCTACATAACCAATTCCAAACTCTTAAAGGTATTTCCATATTCTTAATGGTTCTCTGCACCCAAGAGTATCTCTCTCTCCAGGTACGCAAGGTATTCTACCAGTTCCACAATATGGACTGGGGGAAAAGGGGGCGGGAGGGGCAAATCTCATGCTGTCTTTCCATCCTCCATCTCAAAGGTGAAAGAGAATGGGGTCAAGCTGTGTATTGACAAGCTCTAACCAAAGACAGATTCCCACAAGTACTTGTGATAAAATCACCATTCTCTGCAGTTTTCCAGCCATTCTTAGTGAGAATTAAGACTTCCTATGGTAGCAGCAGTAGGAAGTATTTATAATTTTTTTCACAGCAAAGAATACTAGAGTCTATGGGTCAGTCACATAAAATAACTGTGGTGGATTGACCCTGGCCAGCAACCAAGTACACACACAGCTGCTCGCTCACTCCTACTCCTCTCCTCTGCAAGACAGAAGGCAGAAAATAGGAAGAGCAAAAGCGAGAAAAGTTGTGGGTCAATGTAGAGGCAGTTCAATAGATGAAGAAGGGCTCTGTGTGTGTGTAAATAGACAAATAAATAAGTAAAGCAAAGCAAAGCAAATCGCTCACCACCTCCCACAGGCAGTCTAATGCCCAGCCAGCCTCCAAACAGCAGCCACCTTGGAAACCAAAAACCCAACCCTCTTCCTCCTCTGCCCCAGGTTTTATTGCTGAGCATGATGTTACATGGTATGGGAGATCCTTTTTGGTCAGTTCAGGTCAGCTGTGCCAGCTGATCCTCTCCCAACCCCTTGCCCACCCCCAGCCTACCTACTGCGGAGGAGCAGGACAGAGTGGGAAAAAGAGAAAGCCTTGGCTCTGGGCAAGCACTGCTCAGCAACACCTAAAACACCGGTGCATTATCATTTAGTCACAAATCCAGAACACAGCACTATATGGGCTGCTACGAAGAAAGTTAACTCCAGCCCAGCCAAACCCAGTACAGTAACCCAGAGGGTCCTATACAGACTCCAGGCATAAGTAAGTCACAATGGATCAGACCTCCAGCGACAGCGGATCATCAAAGTGAGGTCAGTAGAAGAATACCAAACAAAGCTACTTATGTAATAACTGCAATAGAATCATAGCAATTTATAGCCACTAAGGGCCTAGTCCAACACAGAGAACTCCAAACATTATTAAAGTTTATAAGAGTTTGTACCTGGTGTTATTGGGGTCACAATACACTTTTTCTATTTCTTCCATATTCTTCAAGTCCTTCCAGGTATTACCATCAGAGATCTGCCATCTATATGGCAAGTGAAAATGAGTTCTGATACACTTGTCTATAAAAGAGATACATTATTTTTACAGGCTATGAGGAAACACTCCAACATTTCAGGGCTGTACAACTAGCTGGTGAAACTATCAAACGCATAGCTATGGAAAGTGTTCACCTATGGAATCATTACAAGCAATAGTTCAGAAGTTTTCAGCATGAGCAAGCAAAACTTAATTTTTGAGCTTAGGCAGAAGTTCAGTTTCTGTACCTACTAGATTCTCTTTGTGCATCAAAATTGCTAGCAGGAGCTCAGTGGTGAAGGACTGGTCTGTCTTCTCAGTTTCAGAGACAAAAATTTACAATGAATCAAGATCACAAGCTCACACAAGGCTATTATTTTGTATATAGAATAAGAGTGTAGACTCGAATATCTATGCTTAAGCACTTAGTCCCAAAATGGTATTACTAAGGAAAAAAACAGTGCTAAGTTTTAGAATAGGAGGTAGCTCATTTAGAGACTTCAAGAAGTCTCTAACGGTCCAGGCCTCACCAGTAACAATAGTACTGGTAGCAGTGGCCCAGGTATCACAAGTGTTACTCGGAAATAATTCAAGAGTCAGCATGCAGTCACACCTCAAAAGGAGTGAAGATCACATCACCAGTACACATATGCATAAACTTGAGGCTAGCTTTCATAGTAGAACAACAGGCAACTTAACTACAGGGAAAGTCAAGAGGACTGCACCACACAGTTTATATGAGAAGGTGTGCAGTACATCAGGGAACTACTACAGGTCAAGAGCATCAAGAAGGAAAAGGATGACAAAAGGACACCCCAACAAGAAAGATGGCACAGCAGCCTTTTTCCTGGACAAGTTGGAACATTTTGAAAGGGAGACAGCTCAGTCAGATGGAACAGAAGAGTGCTAGAAGAAACATGGAAGAATGTAGAATTCAGAGTATCTTTTGTAGCTACTTGGAAATAGGACTCCTATCATTCAGCAATCCCTTAGGTTAACACAGGTGGAGCAGCCAATCTCCAACACAGGCTGATATACATTTCAGAGTAAACCAAAACAGCTCCTTTGTTTGCTATGCCAGGTAGGCCAGACGCTTTCCTACCAACACTCAAGATTACAATGAGATTTAACTATAAAGATAAGCGTAAGCTCTGAAGCTTCGCCTTTCTGTGGAAGATGTCTATCACTTCCTCTTTATGAGAAAAGGAAAATCGACTGGACTTCCTACAGGCACAACCTACCTTTAAAGCCACAACTTCTGTACAGATGATATAAACAGATCTGTTCCAATTCATCATCATCATTTGTAGTTGAGGACTGTTGGCTAGAGCTGTGTTTTCTCTCTAGATGGGAGAATTATAAGCCTCATTAATTTCAGGTTTCAACAAGCCCCTTAAAAGTGCACCTATGGGTAGGGAAGATGCCTGAAAACAGTTTTTCTAACTACATAACTGCATTCAGCTCCAGAAAGACACTGAAGTCTTTGATAGCCTTATGTATTCAAAAGTCCTACCCCTTTATCCAGCCTTTCTGAACTTCACTTTCCTATAACTGCTAAATTCCTCAGATACAGTTTTTAGCTATCACTGCAAAATAAGAATAGAATCCAATGCCTTTACATTTCTAGATGGACTTAAGTGAACCGTGCATTCCACATAGCTGTTCACACTGGCAGCTATAAAATCTGAAGTCTCAAAATTTGATATGTCTGTAAATTAAAGCACACCTCAGGAAACAAAGAAGGAAAGAAGGAACTGCAGGGAGAATAGCAGAGATGAACACTGTCCTGGTTTCGGCAGGGATAGAGTTAATTTCCTTCCTAGTAGCTGGTACAGTGCTGTGTTTTGGATTTAGGAGGAGAACAATGTTGATAACACACCGACCTTTTAGTTGTTGCTAGGTAATGCTTACACTAGTCAAGGACTTTTTAGTTTTCCATGCTCTACCGACTGAGAAGGCTGCAGGTGCACAAGAAGCTGGGAGGGGGCACAGCCAAACTGGCCAAAGGGACATTCCATACCATATGATGTCATGCTCAGTACAGAAACTGGGGGAAGCTGGCCGGGGGGGCCGCTGCTCGGGGACTGGCTGGGCATCGGTCGGTGGGTGGTGAGCAATTGTACTGTGCATCACTTGCTTTGTGTATTATTATTACATTATTATTATTATTTTATTTCAATTATTAAACTGTTTTTATCTCAACCCACGAGTTTTTCTCACTTCTACTCTTCCAATTCTCTCCCCCATCGCACCGGGGGGGGGGGGGGGGTGGTGCGGGGAGTGAGTGAGCAGCTGTGTGGTGCTCAGTTGCCGACTGAGGTTAAACCACGACAAACACACACACTTGGATTTTCCATTCTGTTATCCTTTTCTTTCCTGTTAAATTGTACTTAACTTACTGTTGTGGTTTAACCCGGCAGGCAGCTAAACACCACACAGCCGTTCGCCATTGCTCACTCCCCGCTCCCCCACAGTGGGATGGGGGAGAGAAACAGGAAAAAAGAGAGTAAAATTTGTGGGTTGAGGTAAAGACAGTTTAATAGGACAGAAAAGGAAGGGAAAATAATAATAATGATAAAAGAATATACCAAATAAGTGATGACAATGCAATTGCTCACCACCTGCCGACTGATGCCCAGCCAGTCCCCGAGCAGTGGTCCCCCCCGGCCAACTCCCCCCAGTTTATGTACTGAGCATGACGTCACATGGTATGGAATATCCCTTTGGCCAGTTTGGGCCAGCTGGCTGGTGTACGCACTGCTTAGCAACAACTAAAACATCGGTGCGTTATCAACATTATTCTCATCCTAAATCCAAACCACAGCACTGTATCAGCTACTAGGAAGAAAATTAACTCTATCCCAGCCAAAACCAGGACACTTACAATTCTAAGGAACTTCAAAAGAAAAGAACAAACAAAATATTACAACTCTGAGAAGTAACTAGGATACTGCTGTCTATGAATTCTCATGCTAGACAATTGCTACATTAAAGAAAAAAAATGGATAAAATAGCTTATAATCACACAAGTAAACACCACCCCTATTCTTAAACAGTTCTCTACCCTTATTTTTGTTTTTTTACCAAGAAAAAAAAATTATAGATCTCCCTATTTCCAGTTCCTGTTATGCTTTTCTAACCCCAAATTTAAGATTTTATGAACAACAAGCACTTCATTTCTCAGGAACCCATAATGCCTTGAAATCCACTTCACTTTTCAAGACACAAACCTCTGTCAATGAGATAGTTGCAAGGTCCCTCCTAAAAGACACATCAAAATGTGAATTCAGTTTTGTTTTTCTTAATGACTTCTATGAGAATGTTACATTCACTAGAGTGACTCTTCTTCTGATGTTTTCGAAAGATGGCATCATTTACCTTTGCATGGTGAAGACTTGGCATCTTCTGTGTCATACATGCTCCTGTTGCCATTTTTTATGTCATGCATATTCCTATAAATGGAGGGTAGTTTCTCAATAATGTTTGAGCTCATTCCCTGTCTCTCCAGTTTCTCATAACATTCTGACTTTAATAAGTCATGGGATCGCTTGCAGCTGCTGCCAAATCTGCACTGTCCCTGCAAAAAGTACTGGCAAACATGCAGTTTGGTGCAGATCTTTTTATAGGTACAAGATCCATAAGGTCCATCACCTTTGTTATAATGCAAGCAGACCTTGGGTAGAGGAAAAAAAAAAGAATTTAAAGATTAAAGTACAATGTGCTCATATAGACTGTTTGAATTCACGATTTTTAAGTTTTTACAGCTACGTGTTTACATTTGCATTTAAAAGACTTATACAAGTTCCTTCTTGTTTTCAAATGATTACTTGATAGTTTTTCCTTTCCCCTGCTAATGTCTAGAAAGATCATTCAACAGACAACAACAGACATTCTCAAGCAGATGGGATTTTGTTCTAAGTCACATAAACGTAGGATAGTGGATTTTATTGTGTCACGACCTGAACTCTTTGGTTTTCTAGTTTTGGAATAGTGAACTTTTTTGACCTGAATTTGATGGTAAGAGGTACTGGATCTGGCTGGGATAAAGTTAACTTTCTGTTGTGGTTTAACCCGGCAGGCAGCTAAGCACCACACAGCCGTTCGCTCACTGCCCTCCCCCCCAGAGGGATGGGGGAGAGAATCAGGAAAAAAAAAGAGTAAAATTTGTGGGTTGAGGTAAAGACAGTTTAATAGGACGGAAAAGGAAGGGAAAATAATAATAATAACGAAAAAAGAATATACAAAATAAGTGATGCACAATGCAATTGCTCACCACC